GTTAGCATCAGCGTGTAACACAAACTACAGAGTCCAGATCACATCAAATAATAATAGTAATAATAAAAATAATCCCGTTATGGAAAAAAATATAGCTTAATATCGATCTGAACAAGGAACTCATAAGTCAAAGTTAACAACTCGACTACTTCAACCTTATGTGCGAGAAGTACAGATGTATTTGGATTATATATGAGATTAATTTGCTTAAGAAAAAAATATTCGCAGGTGTATATTAAGATATAAATTTATTGCCTATAATGTATACTCAATACTCGTTGTTGAGCAGAAACAACGTAATTGTACAATTATATGATTCGTTGTTGTTCAGACACAAAAATTATTCGTTATTGTACACACAAAAAATAGATGATTCGATAAAGTACACAAAAAACGGAAACGATTCGTCCGTGTACCCGGGAACAAGATGGGCACGATAATGTAAACACACAAAAAAAGTTCCTCCTTTTGTGCCCAACTTGAGACGCGTCCCCAAAACAGTCGTATAAAACACTACCTAAATATATTTGGCGGGAAGGACGCAACCTTTGCGCCCTAGTAAGAGTTCGTAGGATAAATGAGGCAAGGAAGAGGATCTTACAGGCGTCCCTGGAGGAGAAAAATATTGCACAGTTGAGAAAAATTGTCTAGGAGTAATGATAGAGGTGGAGGTCGCCGAGCGCTCATGCAATATCTGAATTAAAGGGGCACACCAAGGCCACCATGGTCTAATTTAGTGGGATTTGAAGAAGAGACAGGATTCTTAGTCTGGATTCTGATGATTCCTATCTCCATGCGCGCACAAATTCGGTCTTCAGTCCTGGAAATTAGATGGATTTGAAGGTTGCATTTAATCATTTGTGGCTGAGGTTTATCTATTGAGTATGTTTATTGCACCTGTAATTACTAACCTAGTGCGATTTTGTATGATTATGACTTTAATCTCTGTGGGGTAAAAACTAATTTAGGAGCAGACGAAAGGAGAGCAAGATCAAACGGCAATAACTAGGAGGACGATTTGGATAATGTGCCGTGACCCACCAAACGTAGCTGTGGTGGCCTCGTGCCGGGGGCGGTGTGTTCCTGTAGCTGCCGCCCGTCAGTCAGCCAGTGGTCACATATCCTCTCTTTTCTCTTCGCTCTCTGTGAATTTACTCACTATAGTATTATTTCTCATAATCTAGGAGGTTAGTTTTACTTATTGGCTATATTTTTTAATGCTCCAGAGACGGAATCAAGTGGCACTTAACAGATAAAACAAGAAACCGACAACAGTTTCTTTCATAGCCGAGACCCCGTCACTCCTGTCAGTTCTTAAGGGTCATGTTCCGAACTCAGCATTTTTGACTTCTGTTTATTTGATTCCAACTTAAACAACAAAAATTATCGAAATTCGTCTGTAAAATTGTTCAATGCTAGTCATACTGTAGGCACAAGCGATCTCCCGAGTGAGAAGATGAAGTTTTCAAGGTAGCGAGACGGAGGAGCCAGTGACATGAAACCAAGGCCGGAGTCAAGAGCGAGACATCGGACATGACTGACATTGCTACCCGACTCGGTGAGTATAATGACGCGTGCCGTACCATGCAAGGTTTTATATTTGTAATTTCTCCGTCGTTCCGCCCTTATCTGGCTCTTGAGCGGCTCTCATTATATATCGAGAGGTGCAGTAAAATGAATCATACCGGGTAGGTAGCCTCAGATAGCTCGCTAATGAGAAGCTTTTAAGTTGTAACAAGACGAAGATAACGCCCTGGACAATCTGGAATCTGGGGCGGGTTGCAAGTAAGAACTAGACTTGATATCATCACCAGATTTCTTGCTGTAAACTTTATTACCTCTACCCTAGACTCTCTCTCTCTCTCTCTCTGGTGTCACCGCCGCTCCTCACTGCCTGCTTTAAACACTATCATTGTGCCGGGAGTTGCATGTGTGCATCTAATTTGTTGCCGGGAGTAATAGAATAAATGTGTTGGTGCCATCGGCCAGAAGCCACTTGAAGTCACTAACCTCCTGTCTGTTATCTTTTTAAAGAACAAGTTGTTCCTCCTATAATGTATACTTGCCGCTCCCGCTGTCCGCCGTGATACATGCTCACTCTTTTCATATATAATATACTACACTATTTACCATTGTTTAGTCCTGTGTTATTGGTTTAAAAAATAGTGCTAAATTGTGTATAAATTTGGAATTGAGTTACAACTAATCTAAGATCAATTATCACCGTACTGTAGTTGTCAAAATACATAGATGAAAAAAACCAGATTTATTAATTAATTGCTGAAGACAGTAAGTTCAAATGTTCCTTTGCAATGATAAAGACATTACAATAAGAACTTGTGTCTCGCCTAATAGGTGTTGTGAAATGTAGTCTTACTCTCCCTCATCAAGAATGGGAGTCTTAAGAGTGAATGCCCTCCGTCCATCAGTACAAACAGTAATATATTCTAACCAAACTTTGTGTAAGGATTCAACACAACAAGGCCCCAGATGTGTTTGATAATCAGTATTTTGTACAGTTATTGTTCAGAGTTATGGCTCATTGGGTTGGTGGGGAAACTACCCTTCTCCAGCGCTAACCTTGTCTTAATTGTATACAATCGCTCCAGTAGGTCTCTTTACGGAGAGGTTCCATGAATTTCAAAATGAACACTGCGACTCCTGTGGGTTCGGTAGTGCTGTCAAAACCCTAAGTCCGTTTATGTCATATTGTCTCACGTAAAATCGTAAAGATACTTTTTGTGGTGAGTGCTACATGAAAGTTACCATTAATGGGTAATTTATTTGAGGTTATGTTTGTATATACTTTATGGTAGGATTTTTTTCTGGTGTATTGAAGTCGATTTGTGTGTGTGTGTGTGTGTGTGTGTGTGTGTGTGTGTGTGTGTGTGTGTGTGTGTGTGTGTGTGTGTCAATGCCTATTCCATTCGCCATCTACCACTATCATCATCATCATTATCACCATCATCATCATCCATCATCATCTTGTTCTTAATATCTTCTTCCATGCCGTAGCTGAAGCTGTCACCACCACCATCACCACCACCACCATTATAATCTCCATCATCATTATCCTTCATTTCCTGTGTAAGTGTCAGAGTGCTCCGCCGCCTCTCTTTCTCTCTCTCTCTCTCTCTCTCTCTCTCTCTCTTCCCCCTCCCCAACCCACCCCATTGTGCCATGTAAATCACCCGCATTTATCAATCACTCGTACACAGTGTAGTGGTCGCCATCCTGCCCGAGAGAGAGAGAGAGAGGGAGAGAGAGAGAGAGTGAAATAGAGGAAAATGAATAAATAGAAAGATGGAGTTCTTTATGTAATTTGTCCATTAAAATCAGCACCTCGATAACACCACAATAACCTGTTCTACACACACCACCAGTAGGTCTGTAGGTGATGGTTAGGTGAGACAACCATCTCCAGACTGTCTTAGTCATTGTGCTGTGTGTCTCTGTGCTGTGCTGGGTTTGACTTTGTTTGTGTGTTGCGTTAATTGCTTGCTTTGTGCGTCAGTTTCTGTGTGCGTCAGTTGCTGTGTGCGTCAGTTGCTGTGTGCGTCAGTTTCTGTGTGCGTCATTTGCTGTGTGCGTCAGTTGCTGTGTGCGTCAGTTGCTGTGTTCGTCAGTTGCTGTGTGCGTCAGTTGCTGTGTGCTTCAGTTGCTGTGTTCGTCAGTTGCTGGCGGTGCGTCAGTTGCTGTGTGTGCGTCAGTTGCTGTGTTCGTCGGTTGCTGGTCGTCAGTTGCTGTGTTCGTCAGTTGCTGTGTTCGTCAGTTGCTGTGTTCGTCAGTTGCTGTGTGCGTCAGTTGCTGTGTGCGTCAGTTGCTGTGTGCGTCAGTTGCTGTGTGCGTCAGTTGCTGTGTTCGTCAGTTGCTGTGTTCGTCGGTTGCTGTGTGCGTCAGTTGCTGTGTTCGTCAGTTGCTGTGTTCGTCGGTTGCTGTGTGCGTCGGTTGCTGTGTTCGTCATTGCTGTGTTCGTCAGTTGCTGTGTGCGTCAGTTGCTGTGTTCGTCAGTTGCTGTGTGCGTCAGTTGCTGTGTTCGTCAGTTGCTGTGTTCGTCAGTTGCTGTGTGTCGTCAGTTGCTGGTGCGTCAGTTGCTGTGCGTCAGTTGCTGTGTTCGTCAGTTGCTGTGTTCGTCAGTTGCTGTGTGCGTCAGTTGCTGTGTGCGTCAGTTGCTGTGTGCGTCAGTTGCTGTGTTCGTCAGTTGCTGTGTTCGTCAGTTGCTGTGTTCGTCAGTTGCTGTGTTGCGTCAGTTGCTGTGTCCGTCAGTTGCTGTGTGTTCGTCAGTTGCTGTGTTCGTCAGTTGCTGTGCGTCAGTTGCTGTGTGCGTCAGTTGCTGTTGCGTCAGTTGCTGTGTGCGTCAGTTGCTGTGTTCGTCAGTTGCTGTGTTCGTCAGTTGCTGTGTGCGTCAGTTGCTGTGCGTCCCAGTTGCTGTGTGCGTCAGTTGCTGTGTTCGTCAGTTGCTGTGTCGTCAGTTGCTGTGTTCGTCAGTTGCTGTGTTCGTCGGGGTTGCTGGTGCGTCAGTTGCTGTGTTCCAGTTGCTGTTCGTCAGTTGCTGTGTGCGTCAGTTGCTGTGTTCGTCAGTTGCTGTGTTCGTCGGTTGCTGTGTTCGTCAGTTGCTGTGTTCGTCCGGTTGCTGTGTTCGTCAGTTGCTGTGTGCGTCAGTTGCTGTGTTCGTCGGTTGCTGTGTTCGTCAGTTGCTGTGTGCGTCAGTTGCTGTGTTCGTCAGTTGCTGTGTTCGTCAGTTGCTGTTGCGTCAGTTGCTGTGTGCGTCAGTTGCTGTGTTCGTCAGTTGCTGTGTTCTTTACATACCACCGCAGTATTTAAACCTTCCACCTCTCCTTGTTGCAGGTCATCATGTCGGGAGGTTCAGGCAGTGTTCCTGGGGTACCGCCGGGCCTCTGTCTTCTCCTCGTTCGTGGGCGCGGGCGTGAGTCCGCCATGTACCAGGCAGCCACCACACCCCACACCCACCCTTTCTCCCAGCACCCCCGCCTCCCCCCCAACTCTCAGTCTTACACCAGGTGAGTCGTCGCTCCTGCCCTGTTGTTGCTACGTCTTACAAGATGATTTGATTACTTGAAGGTCTGGAGGAGAGATAGACTGAAAGTGTTTGTGTGTGTGTGTTTGTGTGTGTGTGTGTGTGTGAGACTGAAAGTGTGTGTGTATCTGTGTATGCATGAGAGAGAGAGTGAGATTGTAAGTGTGTGTGTGTGCGTATATATCTGTGTGAGACTGAAAGTGTGTATACGGGTACACGAGAGACAGACAGACAGACAGACAGACAGACCTTGAACTATCATGCCTGGAACAAGTTGTGTGCATCAACATTGTCCTCTTGAGATAAAGACACACCTGAACTATCACGTGTGTTGTATATACTGATACCGTTGGCCACTGAACACTGTCTCTAATCTTATCTGACACCTGTACCCTACACCTGCACCTAACACCTGTAATTTACACCTATACTCTCTACCTGCACCTAACACATTTGCTTTACATATGTACTTAACACCTTTGCTCTACAGCTGTACCTAACACATTTGCTTTACACCTGTATCTAGCACCTGTATTTTACACCTATACCTCATTTGTACTTTACACCTGTACCGTATCTAAATGTACTTTACATCTGTACCGTACACCTGAAGGCTGAAGCTCACGCCTGCAACACACCTTTAACTCACTCTAGTAACACCTGTAACTCATGCCTGTAACTCACACCTGTAACTCATGCCTGTAACTCACACCTGTAACTCATGCCTGTAACTCACACCTGTAACTCATGCCTGTAACTCACACCTGTAACTCATGCCTGTAACTCACACCTGTAACTCACCTTTACCTCACATTGTCCTGTCATATAATAAGTGTTAAATCTGTCTTATGTAATCAGTGTGAAATAATTATGTCTCCTCATATAATCGGGTGAAATCGTTCATGTTATAAAGTTAGTGGGAAATCCGTCATGTTGTATAATCGATCGGAAAAGGAAAATTAAAGAAGAGAAGAAATACAGATTTGTATCCCGCCTGTCCAGATTTTGGTTTACAGAGGTTCACACACACACACACACACACACACACACACACACACACACACACACACACACACACACACACATATGTACTTCCCCGACAACCCTACCGTGCTCTCTCTCTCTCTCTCTCTCTCTCTCTCTCTCTCTCTCTCTCTCTCTCTCTCTCTCTCTCTCTCTCTCTCTCTCTCTCAGCCACCTACACGTGGTGGTGGAGGCAGGTGCGTGGCGTGGACAGGGAGAAAGCGCCACGTTGATAAGACTGGAGCGTTGAGGGCGATACGGGGTCAATACAGAGTGGTCTGGACCAGTTAGGACGACCACTGAAAGGGGGAAAAACTGGCATACTGGAGGTCGGGGTGTCGCTTTTGGATGTGATGGAGAGAGAGAGAGAGAGAGAGAGAGAGAATCAAGCGGCATAGTGTGTGTGTTGGGAGGAGCTGATGGGGGTGTGTGTGTGGTTCTTGATTGGATCTTGTGTCACTCAGGGTTGCAGAGAGGGGCTACACAGGACAGCAGCAACACCCCGTCACAGGCTTCACTGATACGCATCTCCCGACTGATGACTTTTACACTCGGGTCGGTGTTGTTCCCCAGTCAGGCTCTCGTCCCTCATACATCCTTGCTGACAGGCCAGGGCAGGTCAGTTTGTCCTGTGTGGGTTATCCTGTAACTTTGACCTGTGTGGGCTTTACTGTAGGTCTGGCCTGTATATCTGATGGACTCTGACAGGCCAGGGCAGGTCAGTTTGTCCTGTGTGGGTTGTCCTGTAGCTCTGACCTGTGTGGGCTGTCCTGTAGGTCTGGCCTGTATATCTGATGGACTCTGACAGGCCAGGGCAGGTCAGTTTGTCCTGTGTGGGTTGTCCTGTAGCTCTGACCTGTGTGGGCTTTACTGTAGGTCTGGCCTGTATATCTGATGGACTCTGACAAGCCAGGGCAGGTCAGTTTGTCCTGTGTGGGTTGTCCTGTAGCTCTGACCTGTGTGGGCTGTCCTGTAGGTCTGGCCTGTATATCTGATGGACTCTGACAGGCCAGGACAGGTCAGTTTGTCGTGTATGGGTTGTCCTGTAGCTCTGACCTGTGTGGGCTGGCCTGTATATCTGATGGACTCTGACAGGCCAGGGCAGGTCAGTTTGTCGTATGTGGATTATCCTGTAGCACTGAACTGTGGGTTATCCTGTAGCTCCGACCTGTGTGGGCTGTCCTGTAAGTCTGGCCTGTATATCTGATGGACTCTTGACAGGCCAGGGCAGGTCAGTTTATCCTATATAACCTCCTCTAAATGACCTGCCTCAATAGTTGGTCCGTCCTGCCTGCCATATCTGCTATTATTATTATTATTATTGTTGTGTGTGCGTGTGTGTGTGTGCGTGTGTGTGTGTGTGTGTGTGTGTGTGTGTGTGCGCGTGTGTGTGTGTGTGCGTGTGTGTGTGTGTGGGGGGGGTCTATCGTCGTGGTATACTTGCTAGACAAACATATCTCCATGTCTGGCTATTTAAAGTGTTTGGTGTTGTGTTGTGGACCTCCTGTGTGTTAGTGACTCATGGCCCTCGCTTAGTTTTTCTCCTTCTGTTCCTCCTCCTCCTCTTTCTCCTCTTCTTCCACCTTCTCACCCAACTCTTCCTCCTCCTCTTTTTCTTTCTCCTCTTTCTCCTCCCATTTCTCTCTGTTTCTCCACGCAACAATTCAACCACTAATCACATAAGGAAATGTTTTTTTTTTTGTTTAGATGATGATAATAATAATAATAATGGTAATAATAATAATAATGATAATGATAATAATAATGACCAGAAAAAAAAATTATCACTCATTTTTTAATTACTTGTTTATTCTTTTGTTTATTTTTCGTTCATTGTGTCGTTTATTGACTCGTTTAGTTGTTATTGATCCATTTGCTTATTGTTTATTCAGTCAATTGTTTACTTAGGTGTTCTAGTTTGTTTATTGTTTATTTAACTTGTTTACACCATATTATATTTCGTCTCTGGTCGTTAAAGCACTTCATTGTTGTCATTTGGCTTCTGGGAAATAATTGTGTGTTATTCTAGTGTTTCTTTATTATTGTTGTTGCTCCTGCTGCTGTTTGTAGTTGTTACTATTATTATTTTTATCATTATTATTATTATTAGTATTAGTAGTAGTAGTAGTAGTAGTATTGTTGTTGTTGTTGTAAAAAAAGATAACATGGAATAGCTGAGGTAGGTGGGGGATATCGTCGCTGTCCAGGTGTTGATATCTAGCTACGCACCAGTTGAAATCACCACCACACGCCTCCCACACTCCCGCTGTCTAAGTTACCGCCCCGTTACTCTGTTTTGTGTGTGTGTGTTCACCTCCTAGACGGCCAAACCCACCTGAAATGTGAGACGCCACGATAATGATACTGAGCTGTGTGTGTCCTTCAGGTGACGTCAGGGCTGGATGCTCGGGAGATAAACCATTTATTAGGAGGATGTTTGTATAGTGTAAAGAAGTGAAGCAGGAAGTACTGTTGTTATGGAGTAGAGGGCAGGTGTCTCTACCCTGTCTGTACGTGTTCTCTCTCTGTATTTATCGGTCGGCCATCTGTGATAGTTGTTGTAATTCGTCTTTTATCTCTGGATTTAAGTTCATTTTTGTAGTTCAGTCACGTGAAGGTCTTCAGTTTTTTTTTATCTTCCACTGTTAAACACTGTGTCGTGTGCCAGTTGTGTCTCGTCTCTCTCACACTGCTGTATCATGTTACAGGTCAACTCTGAGGCGGCACCGTCAGCCTTCCATCCTGTAGTGTCCCGGGGTGCCCGACGCCTCCACGATGTGGCCAGCCCAGACCGCGAGTGCCCCCGAGTTGACGACCCGTCCCAGCTCCAGGGAGGCCATGGCCGCAACTTGGGAGAGATCCCGGGTCACGTGCTACCCCTGGGTCACTCAATGCCTCCCCTGGGCGTCCCAACCCTGGGCATGGGTAACCCCCTCCTACCGGGGATCTTCGACAGGAGGTTACTGCGGGTGTCGGGGCGGGCGGCGCGGCCAAAGAAGCAGTTTATCTGCAAGTACTGCTCGAGGCACTTCACCAAGAGCTACAACCTCCTCATACACGAGAGGACCCACACCGACGAGAGGCCCTTCCCCTGCGACGTGTGCGGCAAGGCCTTCCGTCGGCAAGACCACCTAAGAGACCACAAGTAAGTCACCACGCTTGTGTGTGTGAGAGAAAGAGAAACAAAATTATGTTCCCGTTGCATATTACACTCTAGTACGTTTTGGCACATGTCTGGTCCATTCTTTCACTAACTAATATTGAATTACTTCTGTCCTTTGTATCCCAAGAGGTAATCACTTCCAAACAACTCTGTCCACCCCTCACCCACCGTCCCCCGTCTTCCTCTCCACCCACGGACGGCCCTGAGTCCCTCCGTCTATCTCCCACATCTATTTTCGGTTCTTTTCCGCCTGGCCATAACTCCTTCCCTGGGCCAGTTTTTGTCCAGGTATTTTGTCAGTAAACCACTTCGTAATCCGCTTTTCCACTTTTTGTAAACTGTGGTCCACTTACTCGACGGTCTCCCCTGTGTAGTGTGTGTGTGTGTGTGGGGGGATAGTTCTCACCTTCAGTTACTTTTACTTTTTTGTTGACTCGTTCCTTGTTGGTTTTATTTTGTGATTGTTTACATACATACATACATACATACATGGATGTAGGTAGACATGTATCGAGTAATTTTTCTTAAGTAATTTGCCGCATGTATCATTTCATTCATTTAGATTCATGTACGAAACCTGAAAGGACCAAACACTCCCCCCTGCGGCCTACCACCCACCTACCACACACCCTCCCTCCCTCCCTCCCTCTCTCTCTCTAGTGCATCTCCATACAGCATAACTAAACCCTAAAGGACCTCAGAATCCTCCACCAGGGGAAGCAAATCAAAATTCCCAGTTCACAGTAGGTGGCTTCCAATTGGCTGCCAGCTGGAGGGCCCGACACCGATGCCTCACCCTCGGACAGGTCCCACACTGTGAGTGGGGAGAACGATTCCAACATTAATGTTATTGTGGGCTGTGGGAGTTATGAATATGGTCTTCTATAAATTATACATCTGACGTGGAAGGAGCGAGTATTGTTGGCATTCTTAATAACGCGGAGGAGGAGGAAGCGGTTTTGCATATCATGAATAACGTATGAAGGCCCTTTATGTATTGTCTTAAATGGCCCGACTTGTAAACGGTATAAGTCCAGCTGGGGGTATCTAACGGCACGATGACAAATGGCTTATGTCTGATTCCGGAGTACTTGTATTATTACTGCCTAAACAAAAGCAAAAAATGACATAATATTTCCTTGTTTTTAAAGTTGTTGGGTGATGGATCAGAAATTACATGATTGGTATCACTTAAGAAACATTTCCCACCGATAACGTGAGGAATTAGTACGTGTGTAATTTGTTTAGAAGACTTGTGAACCTCACCTCTTCACCAAGTTACATGGCGTAATAGGTAGTCTTCTCTTACCTGTACCTGTCATGTTGTTTTTTTCTGAGTTACCAAAGCGAACTGCAACAATGTGAAAGACGATGAAACTCAACACTACTCTTTCTGAAATGATAAAAGAACAGTTAGAAGTGTGAGTGATAAATAGGTATACATTTATTTTTGCTCTGAATTGGTGAAGTGAAATAAGGTTATATAAGAACCAGGAAGAGGTATCCAGGTGACACAGTAAGGTACAGCGGCCTACACAAACACCGCCCCGACCCGTGACCCCCAGCTAATTAATATGATGCTATCGGCGTGTTTACACCTGGGGAGGCCATCAGGGGGGCCACTCCCAACCTCACGACTGCCCTCCAAGGATTCTGCCCTGCCTCCCCTTCGTCGCCCACAAGAGTAAGATTGATTACCACTGACCCAGCTGATGAGCTCTCTCTTTCCACGAACTCACTACCTTTCAGTTGAATATCCTGCGTGAACAAATTATACAATTCTTAAACTCGCGTCACTTTGAGGTACACACGACTCTGGTTATTTACACGGGTAAGGGAGCTTCCTGTGACAAGACTGTGTGGGGGTGATACAGAAGGAAACAAGAAGGAGGCGGCCATTTGTTCCGGGGCCTGGCGACGGTAACTAGCATCTCCCCCCACTCCACCCACTCCACCCACCCCCCACCCCATCTCTTACACCCACACACACCACACAAAAACCACCCATCCACTCCACACCCACCCTCTCTACCCACAACCTCGCATAACTCCTAAGCCACCACCCAACCCTTGCCACCCACATCACAACCACCCAACCCTTGCCACCCACATCACAACCACCCAACCCTTGCCACCCACAACACAACCACCCAACCCTTGCCACCCACATCACAACCACCCAACCCTTGCCACCCACAACACCCTAATATAACCTCTCAGCCACCCATACACATCCTCCATGGCCAGTCCCCAAGCACCATATCCCACATATGCTAACTGCTCAACGGGAGGGGAACCTGGAGGTGGTGAGGGTTCCTGAGGGTGGCGGTGGTGGTGGTGAAAATGGTGTTACAACGGGTGGTGATAGTGGTAAAGCAGTGGTTGTGGTAGAGGTTGTTAGTTCGCAATGACAAGGGGGTGATGGTGATAGTATTTGTGGCGGGAATAGTTAAGTGATTTAGTATAGATGGTGGTAGATTTACTGTGGTGGCATTAGTGGTTGTGATGTAGGTAATGGTGAACTGTGAGGGGGTGGTGGTGGTGGTGGTGTGACGAGAGACGCACTCCTGTGTTGTCAGCGGCGGCGTCTTGTTGCTCCGGAAGTCTTGGTGACACTCTCCCCTACTGGCTGGGTCTGATATGATCACTAACTCAGCTCCTCCCTGTGATTACTGACTCGGCTGTTTCCTCTGACTCACTATAATCCTGGTGACAGTGTAAGGCTCTCGGTGGCTTCCTGTGTTGGGTCTTTCAGCTTCCGTTGGCTTCTGATAGCTACTGGTGGTCACTGACAAATTCTGATGGTTATAACGACAGCTAATGGTGGCTTCTGGTAATTACTGATGGCTTTTGACGGCGTGTGATGGCTTATGACTGCAATCAATGACGTGTGTCTGCTTCTGATGGCTACTGACAACGAAACCGCATTGAGACTTTACCACTACCGTAACAAAATGCTGCTCTCTCTCCAAGCTTAAGGAGAGGAGACTTAACGTTCGAGTATCTAAGAACTGCGGGCCTTGGCATCCTGAACACGGCAAGAAGGTCAGACGGCGAGTTAGATAAATATTAGATTGACATTAACCCGGAGTTAGAGAGACATTACGAGAGACTTTAACGCAAATGTACTCATTACCTGGACCTCTTGAGTGTAGCCAAAGATCTCCAGCTTCATGTGTGTCGCCGGAATGAGGGTAATGAATCTCCTTCCATCTATATTCCTCCTCTCTTCATCTTTCGTATTCTTTAACCCCTTCTTATTCTTTTTCCCAAGCTCCAGTTATCGCATCACGAACGTAGCTATTCCAGCTCTCACGTGTACCCACTGGCATTAAAAAAAACGACTGCTAAGACCTCTTTTAAGACCTTGAGGGTTGGATCTCTTCTAAATGTATAAAGACCGCAATAAACCGTTCCTGGGATCATTGAAAGACAGGTTTTTGTGATGTTCTTATTTTTTCTTGCTTTCTGGCGCGCGGGTACTTGGAGGCAAGCGTTTTTAAGGCGGATTTGAGCCTTGGAGAAGAAAGAGAGAATACGGCAGAGAAAATAAGCGAGAGAAAGAAAGAGAGAGAGGTGGCATTAGGTATTAAGGGGGGATTAGATTCCTTTACAGAACGGGGATTGATTGTTGATGTTCATTTGTTATTCTGTGGTCGGGCTGCTATAAGGGATTGGAACTCCTTGGTGTTTATAGAACCCTCCGTAACACTAATGGCGGGGAAAGTTACCACACGTATAATAATGTAAATGTCTTTTTTTTTGGAGTTTATTTGGTGTTAAGTAGAGCGTATATGAGTTGTATAGTATAAAAAAAATAGTGTGTGTAAACATTTATCTAAAACTCCGCTTATTGTGAAGAGAACTTATGATGTGTAACGTATATGAAAACATAATATTTTTGTTTTGGTTTTTCTGTTCCACCGTTTTTCCGTCCGTCCGACCATCTCCAACACCCTGCTCCCTCACCCTCCAACCCCCCTCTTTCTCTCCAACACCCTCCTTCCTCACCCCCAATCCCCCTCTTTCTCTCCAACACCCTCCTTCCTCACCCCCAATCCCCCCCATTTCTCTCCAACACCTCCCCACCCCCTCTTGATCCACTAATGGTGAACCTCTGCATCTCCCTCAATACAAGTACAAATACATCTGTCCCTTTGTCTGTCTGTCTGTCTGTCTATTAATCAGTCGAGGTCCCCAAGTAAATACATCTAACTGCCTGTCTGTCAATTAGTCCCTGTCTCTTGCTGTATATTTATGTCTCCTTGTTTGTCTGTCCATTAGTCAGTCAGTCAGTCAGTTCATCTAGGTCACACACACACACACACACACACACACACACACACACACACACACACACACACACACACAAATCAATCTATGTCTCCCTCTTGTTTGTCTGTGTCTCTCTATTTTTCTACCAGTTTGTCTGTGTCTGTCCACCTGTCTCTCTCTCCATTATCTATCTATCTATCTATCTATCTATCCTCGTGTGACCAGTTTCCCTAACAACAGGTCATCAGTGTGTAGCCGCAACCCTCACGAGGCGACAGAGTGAGTTCCTTACGTGGTGGGCGGTGGGTCGTGGGAGGCCAGGTGAGGCAAGTGTGTTGGTTGTGGGTGTGTGTTTTGTGGTTGTGGTTTGGTTATTGTGTGGGGTTGTGGTGGTGGTTGTGGTTTGGTTATTGTGTGGGGTGTGGTTGTTGTGGTTTGTTTATTGTGTGGGGTGTAGTGGTGGTGATGATGGTAGGGGTGGTGACAGTTCTGCTCAGGGTGTGACGGGTGTGGTAGTAGTAGTAGTAGTAGTAGTAGTGGTGGTAATGATAACGGTGATGGTGGTAATGGAAGCGGTGATGGTGATAGTGATAGTAGTGGTGGTGAAAAATGGTAATGGAAGCGGTCCTTGATGGCGTGATAATGGTGTCAATTATTATGGTGATGACGCCGATGGTGAAGGAAAGATGATGACAGTGTTGACAGTT